GGTTAAGTGTCTGCTTCTGACTCAGGGTCCTGGGATAGAACCCCATGTGGGGCTCTCTGCCCAGTGGGAAGTCTGCTGCTCCCCTCCTTCTGCCACTGTCCCTGCTTGTGCTCTCTTGCTCTTTCTCTCTCAAATAAATAAATAAAATCTTTTAAAAATTAAAAAATAACTTTTAAAATCACTTCTATTCACAACAAATACACATTTATTGCCAAATTTAAACCCATATAGGCATATCAGCTTAGACTTGGCTGGGGATCAAACTGTGAATCCCTATAGTTTCCCCATTGTTAGTTCAGTGAGGCAGAAGACATCTGAGCACAATTAATAAATGCACCAGCAAGGATGTGTATAGGATATTTTGGGAGTTCAGAGAAAAACACCTACCTGATCTGGGGTGATTATAGATTCCTAGAGAAATAACCCTTAAGATGAGTCCTTTAAAATGAGTAAATGTCAGCCAGTTAAGGGAGGTGGAGTTAGGGAAGAGGCATTTCAGTATTTCAGGCATGGGGGCATATGGGAGCAAAGGCACAAAGGAAAGAAAGCACATTAACTACAAAGAGAACTGGGATTTGAACTCAGGTTTGCCTGGTTTTAAAGCCTGAGGACGTCCCTGTGTGTGGTTGCTGCAGGAACCTGCTCTACACCACTGTGCTTCTGGGCTTACAGAGTATCCGTTCAAACTCACTAGATAGGTAGATAATAGTTACTTTGCAAATAGATAGCAGTATTATATATATGCATATATAAATATATAGTTATTATATATATAAATTTTATATAAATTATTTTTTAAATAAATAAAAATTCCCACAGCCTCTCAAACATACTGTATGCCAAACACTGACACATCATAGACCAGTGACAAAAAAATGTGGCACCAGGTTAAATTTCTTTTTGTGTAGACCTTGGAATAAATCTTCTCTGTTATTCTTTTGCATAATTGTAATTTTGAAACTTATTAGGGAAGAGGATGAAATAATTCTGCATCACCTTTAAGGAAAAAAAAAAACAGTATGTAATGTTTGCCTGTATCAAATTCTCTGTGTACACGGCCTTAGCATATTCTGAATGAGCACCTCCATAGCACGTGCCAATAAAATGATAGGGAATAATACTAATAAAGTATGTTTGCTGAGTGTTTTTTTTTTATGTGCAAATCTTCATGCTAGACAGTATCTCTCATCTAATAATCAACAGTCCAATGGGATGGGTAATATTATTGCCCTTATTTTGTAGGTGAGTAAACTAAGAGAGTTTTGTTGGTTTTTTAAAAAGATTTTATTTATTTATTCATGAGAGACACAAAGAGAGAGAGAGAGGGGCAGAGACATAGGCAGAGGGAGAAGCAGGGAGCCATGCAGGGAGCCCAATGTGGGACTCGATCACGGGACCCCAGGACCACGCCCCCGGCCAAAGGCAGGTGCCAAACCGCTGAGCCACCCAGGGATTCCCCAAGGCTTAGAGTTTTTAAGCAACTTTGTCCAAACATTAGCTGATAAATATGGTGTCAGAATTTAAATCCATGGTGTCTGGTCTAAGCTTTCCCTCTTCACCACAGATCATTTTCTTGACATAGGACCTGAGCATCCACATTACTTTTTATATTACTGCTCCCAGTAGCAGCCAGAGTTGAGGGACACTACTTTTTTGACACACCACATTGTGAAAACATTGACCACTAAACAAATATTAGAGTTTATCTTCTATCTCAGTTCTTGTTTCTCTAACTTGTACGTTTATGAAGATGGAAGTTTGCCATTGATGACTTTAAGCTTCGAAGTCACTTAACTTGGTAAATATGCTAAGAACTTTCAATTTGTATGAGTCAAGGATTTCTCTCTCCCAGGAAAAATAAAAGACAAAAACAAATTATGGATGCTGATGTTGATATGCACAGGAGAATCAGCCTCAATCAAGTTAAAATGTTGGAGCAATATAAACGTACTCGGAGCTTAAAGACTTGAGAAAGAGGTTTTAGGGGGAGGAGGGATGTAGAAAATATAGAGTCAGGATCTTTCAAAGATAAATTTACCTACTTTGAATACTTTTTACTGCTGGCCATATACTCAATAACCTGTATTAAAACACTTTGGAAAATGCATATACACCTTATCTTAAAAAATACTTTGATTCTTACATCATCTAGATTGTTTAAGTGCAGCATTCAAAATATCTCTCTGGAGAGTTGTTTTGTTAGTACATTTTATAATCTGCTAATTTTTTTAAAAAACCCATTCTTCATATAGCGACACATTGAAGTTCAAGCTTTTGTTGATAATGTATGGTTTAAACAGAAACTGCGACTCACCAGAATCTACAATAGATTAGGGTCATATGATTTACCTAATGTTTTGGGCAAGTACTTATGACTCTCCAAAGGCTGTATTGTTTAAGAGTTCAAGAATCAAGTTTAAAATGGGGATGGAACTTCCAGTTTACTTATCTCTTAAGATGGCTTTGTAATTATTAATAATAAATTAGTTCCAACAAACTTCTTGGCTAATACACCTATTTTTGTCTCTTCCTGGCTGGTATTTTATACAAGTTCACCTCTTTGAGAGACAAGTAGAAAATGAGACTGTTTTGATTGGAAGTTGTCTGGACTTGGGGAAAGGAATGTCATGTCATTGCAATCACTTTCTTGGCATATACAGTATATCAAGTTAAGGTTCTTTCCATGGATGCAACTTAAAATTATTCTCAAAGAGAATCTACCAGAAGACTATCTGGAATAACGGAATACCTGAGATACTGGAGAATTTAGTTTGGAAATGGACAGAGTGTGAGGCAGCTCTGGAGTTTGGTAAGCAAGAACCCCAATAAAACCAAGAGCAATCTGGTCATGAGCTTACCACATGGATGGAATGGAACCCCACATGTCTTCATTGTTTTCTCTAACAATTCTGCTAAAGATCACTGTCTTTTCCCCTTTGCTAAAGATTCAAATTCTAGAGAGACTTTCTGGAAATATTAGCTTGGCTTGCCCACCTGTCTAGTTAAGGAAAAAAGCAGGGGCCTATCTTTTCACTAAAGTTCCAGCAGGCTATATCCAGTCAGAGTGGGAAATCCTAAAAGCTAACTGAATGCCAGTTGGAAAATGGACTCTGGATTACCAAAAGGCAAATATTCTTTCTGCATGAAGGAATGGAAGCTAGAGAGAAGCTGGGCGTATGGAAAGGCAAAGTGAGCTTATCTTCTTGTGCTAAGAGAGTGGGTTATGGGTATCTCTTATTGTGAGTATTAAAACCAGAGGCTGCCAAGAAAGATAGGCTATGGGGCTGTAGCACTGAGTTAAAAAAGGTAGAATTATCTGAATCAGGAATTTGTCCCAAGAAAAATGTGGAATCAGTAGTAAAATCTGAATAATAATTTAAAATAGTTGTAAAACAAGGATGATTATTATCACCAACATCAGTATTACTCTAGCAATTCTGACTCATGAAGTATAGCAAAAAATGTAAATAAGAATCATAACTTTGGAAGGGAGATAAAACTTAACATTGTTTGAGGATAATATGACTACATAGAATGAAAGCCCAAACAAATCAACTCAAAACCAAAATAAATTTTACTGTGTGACAGCAATAATGGTTACATAGAAAATATAAGGACTTTTAAAAGATTTATTCACAATAGGCAAAACACGCACACACACAGAAGTACAGAACTTGTAGAAATAATTTGAAGAGGAATGTGTGGCAGCAAATGACGAACACCACATAAACTTGCTGTAAGGTACAGAACATTGTCTAAATTCTTTTGTTTTCTCATTTAAAATCTGACAATATGATCTCACAGGTGAAAAAAAGTCAAGGTCATGTTTGACATAGGAGTAATTAGCGACAATTTGTCTTACCATATATTAAATGAAAAGGTAAATGTACCCGAACAAAAATCTAATCAGATCAATAAGGCATAGTACGTAGTTCTGAAACAGACTATGATAGGTGGAGGGATTTAACATATCCAACAACTTGGATGCAGAAAAGTGCATTGTCATTTCATGTAAAATTATCTGCCTTACCCTAACCTACTCATGAGCATAAGTCACTGTTATTAAATAACTAAATCCAAATCTCTAGGGCTACTCAACATGCAACAGACTACGAAGTCTGTATGAGAAACAGTTCAATTGTAGAATGTTTGCCCACTTCCTGTTAGGAAGTCTTATTTGAAGCCACCATTTATTCCTCTTTTTCTTTTTGTATATGCCATGTTAATAGGCATGATTATATCTCTTGTTGATCCTCCATGTTTAGCTGCATTGATGGTTGGCTGCCTCTCTTTTGGGATAGCCTAGAGCCCAACAAATGATTTTTTTTTTTTACTTCATAGAGTTTATATTTTGAGTCCTGCCATATGTGGCACAATCTTAAAATATAGTGAAATCCTTCCAGACAGTTTTATAAACTTCACTAGCAAGTAATAAATAAAAATTTGATTTAATTTCCATTATTAAAAAAAAGAAATTGAAATCTAAGGGGTCAACAATAGAGAAATGGTTTTTAAAAAATCTTTGGAAAAAAAATCTTTGGGGGCACATAGGTGACTCAGTCAGTTTACCTAAGCTCTAGTCTCAATCTGAGGGCCTTGAGTTCAAGCCCAACATTTGAAAAAAACAAAACAAAAAAAAGTTTTGTATATAAAAACAATGTAACATTATACAGTCACCAAAAAGTTATGTTTTTAAGAATTTCAAATGATATAGTCCTTTCAGGAGGTGAGCTATGAGTGATGTCTTTATTCTCATTTCATTTCTATATGTTATTTTATTTTTATTTTTTATTTTCTGAATTTTCTACAAGTATGAGAATCAAGAAAACCTATTATAAAAACATGAAAATTAATATATTTTAAAATTAGAATATATATTAATAAGAATTCATGATAAAGAGTAAATTATGTGTAAATAATTATTTAATAATATATAATGTGTACTTTCTTTGATTTTACAAAAAGACATATATATTCAAATGAATGACAAAGCCATTCTAACTTGCATTCCCAAATGCAGCCCCTGAACAACTAAGGTACCACTGTCAATTTCGTGGCAGTTCATGTAAGGCCTGGAAAATTCATGTTCATTGTAGAGCCTTAAATTTTGGGCTTACAAAGCTTCAGTGTGTATAGTAAGAATGGCAAAGATCACATTACTATGTCTCGAATAGGAAGCAAAATGTAAGAATTATATCTCACTATACATTCTTTGGCTCCAATGACTGATAAAAGACCCACAATTGGTGCATGTAGTTAATCATGTTGTGTTCATAAATACAATCACCAGTTGTTTTGCAAAACAGTAAACAGTAGATATAATAATTCTATGAATGTGATTCTAAGAATAGTTTGTGCCTACAGGAATCTTTTTGGAAAATTTTACCAAATAGAGTTATCTTCAGTGCTTTTCTGAACCAGGGATAGAAAAATGGATAAATCATTGGATTAAAAGTAGAGTTCAAATAGCCAAACCAAACCAATGCATCATTCCAAGTGGGTGGAATACTGTAGTCCAGGAAAGGATCCATGACCATGCAGACAAAGAAAGGACACTAGCAATTTAGGAAGATTCCCATCATAATCCCTAAAGTCTTTGCAGCTTTCCTTTCTTTGCTTTGTAACATTCCATTTTTCTCTTTCAGTCCAATTTGAAGTGTCTGATTTGCATCATTAATTGACCTTGCTTGTCCTTGAGCTATGAAATATATTCTGGAATAAATACACAACATAATAGATTCAGGTATATAGAAAGAAGTCATAAAGGCCAGTACCCCAGATGTTTTGCTGAAGAAGACAGAGCAACCTCCTATGCAGTGAATGTATTTGTAATACGTCTCTTCAGCTCTTTTGAAATTTAGCTCAGAAAAATCATTCCAAGTGCAAAAAGAGCAGGGACACTCCAACTAACCAAGATCATCACAAAAATAACCAAGATACTCATCTTGGCTTTGTATCTCAATGGATCACACACAGCATTGTAGCGGTCAATGAAAATGAAGGACAAGTGGAAAATGGATGCTGAGCTCAGCATAATGTCAGTGCTGGTGTGAATTTTACAGACTTCTCCAAAGTGCCAGCCATGCTCAACAGATTTGACCATGCTCTAAGGCATGACCAGGCACCCCATCAGAAAGTCTACGGTGGCCATGATGAAGGAGTCAATTAGTTGGGGTATGAAGTTGCTTGAAGTGCTATATGGAAATAATAACTATCAGATTGTCAATGAGTGTGGTCAAAATTATGAGCACCATTAAACTATACAGGAAAGCACAAACACCATTTGACCTGCTGCTTTTCACACTGGAAATACTAATTATATTGTGGCAAAAGACATCATTCCTGAGTGTTATCCACCAGTTTTCTTCTTGATGTGTTGAGGAATCTTTATTCAAAATCCATAATCAGGTTAGAGTTTCTTCTTTTATTTCATATACCTTCCCCAGAAACCCAGGAAGGGGAAAAAAAAAAAAACACAGAGAAGGAGAGAATCATTGGCAATTTGATTCCTTTCACTTCTAACACACTTACTTATTACTTCTTGCTGAAAAATCGTTATTTTAGGAAGAGTGTTTATTCCTAAGTTTACTTCACTAGTTCAGTTCAATAATTTTTTAAACATCTACCTGATGTTGGATACTGTGCTAAAAATAAAAAGCTGAATTATTAGGTTGAAATATATGAAACTGCCACTTTCTTAGGTAAGAGAAGGTCAAATGATGAATCTTTCATACGATTCAATCAATCTATGGAAATAGTCTTTGCACAAAGGAAAGTCTTGGGGGGAAGCAAGGGTAGATATAAATTGCCAGAAATTTTAGAATTAAAATATATTCAAGAGAAAAAGTGCAGTCTTTTAAATGTGCCTATTGAACACAAGTAATATCCACTAGTGCCTGCCTTTGGACTTATAATATATATTTCTTATTTTATAATTAATTATAATGGAAAGAAGCTAACATACAGAGCACTTATTCATATATTCCAGGCATTACTTCACTTAACATTTTTGCATCTATGATATAAACATTATTCCTTATAAGGAAGACATGACATGTTTTGTTAGTATAATCATACTGGCAGGATATTGAGTCTTCATTCATGGAACCATTAAAGCTAGAATATGAACTGACATCTCAATTACTAGTACAGTTTCTTTTTTACTAATCCACATTTTCTTTCCATGGCAGAAAAGAGCGATTCAGATAAAGTATTTTCAAGAACATTAAACTTTGAACTTTCATTTAAGAACATAGGATGTCTTAAAAAGTGGTACCTACTAGTGAAGTGTGATATTGTGGTCCAAATTATTAAGGATTTTAAATATACAGACCAAAGTCTGTGTAAGACATACTGTGGCACAGGTAAAAGATGGCTGAGGTAAGAATCCAGGGAAACTGAGCTTCAGTGTCATCAGTGGGCAAGGCACTGGAGCTCTTTTTTTTTTTTTTTAAGCTCTGAAACCCATTAAATTATTAATTTTTTTCATGCAATCCCAATTTTTAAAAAGATTTTATTTATTTATTTGAGAGAAAGAACACGAGCAAGCTGAGGGACAGAGAGAGAAGCAGACTCCCCACTGAGCAGGAGCTGGATGTGGGGCTCAATCCCAGGACCCTGAGATCCTGACCTGAGCTGAAACCAGATGCTTAACCAACTGAGCCATCCAGGCACCTCTCATGCAATCCTAAATTTAAAACAAAAGTAAAATCTTGTTAAAACAGAGATGGCACCTTCTCCTCCACAGGCCCATTAAGAACCCAAGGCTCCATGAGACCTGGCTTAAAAATATTCACTTTGAAAATTGGACATCCACCCGCAGAAGAATGAAACTAGACCACTCCCTTGCACCATACACAAAGAGAAACTCAAAATGGATGAAAGATCTAAATGTGAGACAAGATTCCATCAAAATCCTAGAGGAGAACACAGGCAACACCCTTTTTGAACTCGGCCACAGTAACTTCTTGCAAGATACATCCACGAAGGCAAAAGAAACAAAAGCAAAAATGAACTATTGGGACTTCATCAAGATAAGAAGCTTTTGCACAGCAAAGGATACAGTCAACAAAACTAAAAGACAACCTACAGAATGGGAGAAGATATTTGCAAATGACCTATCAGATAAAGGCCTAGATTCCAAGATCTATAAAGAACTTATTAAAATCGACAGCAAAGAAACAAACAACCCAATCATGAATTGGGCAAAAGACATGAACAGAAATTTCACCAAAGAAGACACACAGATGGCCAACGAGCACATGAGAAAATGCTCCGCATCACTTGCCATCAGGGAAATACAAATCAAAACCACAATGAGATACCACCTCACACCAGTGAGAATGGGGAAAATTAACAAGGCAGGAAACCACAAATGTTGGAGAGGATGTGGAGAAAGGGGAACCCTCTTACACTGTTGGTGGGAATGTGAACTGGTGCAACCACTCTGGAAAACTGTGTGGAGGTTCCTCAAAGAGTTAAAAATAGACCTGCCCTATGACCCAGCATTTACACTGCTGGGGATTTACCCCAAAGATACAGATGCAGTGAAACGCCAGGACACCTGCACCCCGATGTTTCTAGCAGCAATGTCCACAATAGCCAAACTGTGGAAGGAGCCTCGGTGCCCATTGAAAGATGAATGGATGAAGAAGATGTGGTTTATGTATACAATGGAATATTCCTCAGCCATTAGAAACGACAAATACCCACCATTTGCTTCAACGTGGATGGAACTGGAGGGTATTATGCTGAGTGAAGTAAGTCAGTTGGAGAAGGACAAACATTATATGTTCTCATTCATTTGGGGAATATAAAAAATAGTGAAAGGGAATAAAGGGGAAAGGAGAAAAATGAGTGGAAAATATCAGAAAGGGAGACATAACATGAGAGACTCCTGAATGGGAAACGAACTAGGGGTGGTGGAAGAGGAGGTGGGCGGGGGGTGGGGGTGACTGGGTGGTGGGCACTGAGGGGGGCACTGGATGGGATGAGCACTGGAGGTTTTTCTATATGTTGGCAAATTGAACACCAATAAAAAAATTATATAAAAAAAATATCCACTTTGGGGGCACCTGGGTGACATAGTAAGTTAAGCGTGAGCCTCTTGTTTTAACTCAGGTCAGGATCTCAGGGTCATGAGATTGAGCACTGGCCCCTGCCCCCACCCCAAGGCTCCACACTCAGTGAGGAGTCTGCTTCTCTCCCTCTCCCTCCCTTCTGCCTCTTCCTCCACTGGAGAATGCACTCTTTCTCTCTATTTCTCTCTCTAAAAATAAATAAACAAATCTTCTTTAAAAAAATCACCTTTGTTTCTATATGATTCTGTAATTCTCAACTGAATTCTGGAATTTTCAATATATTTTGAAATATAAATATACATGCACACATATATATGTATATATAAATATATATATATGTCTGTATGTATATGAAGAGAGAGGGAGAGAGAGTTTGGAGGAAGAAAGTGAATTTCTGGCAGTCAATGAGCAACCTGTCGCTATGCTGAAATGATAGAAAATAGCAACAAGTCTTAGAATATTCCAGGAGCCTGCCTTTCTTTTCATTTCCTCCCATTCCCTCTGGGCTGCCAGTTGAGATCAAGACTACATAGAAATCTAAATGTGTCCATAACCAAAACTGCAGGATAAAATATTTAGGTACTAAATATATATTTTAATGTATTTCAACACTTCTCCCCCAATCCCTTCCTGCCTTCTATTCCCAGAAGGAAACATCTTTACACCAAATGAATCTGTAAAATGTATTTCAACCAACACCCAGGCCGATTCCATGACAGAACAAAGAGCAGGCTAAAACTATATAGATTATCTGTACTAAGTAATATTTGAATTATAATTAAAATTTCACTAACAGAATAATGGATTTTCTTTTATTAAGAAATTTGAGTATGCACCCAAATAAACTTACGTTATAAATCTTCTAATTAGACTGTTTTTCTATATTCTACTTTTCCTTGTTTCTTTTATTTACGCTTTATATTAAAGGAATCAACACATTCTAAGCACTGTCTAGAAATGTTTGCTAATTATTGCCAGTCAAAATAACATTCCCACCTGTTATCATACTGAATAGGGAACCAGAGTCTAAAAAGAAGTAAAAGAAGATGGAAAAAAACTTTGTTGTTCAATTTTAGAAGACTAAATTCGTAAAAGATGGAAATATCACCTGACAACTCTGTATGCCCTGTTCATTATGCATCAAAATGTTGGTTTCCCAGATAAAAACCAAATGGCTCAGAGGCTTCCTCCTCATAGTTGTACATCCTAGTTTCAGAGAAGTAGAACCATAGGCATAGTATCTTGGAAATTATCGATAAATTAGTGACACTTCAGTAGAATAATTTTCCTACCCATCTTAAAGAATTTTACATATAATTTATGCAAATATTTATTAAGATGTTAAAATTTATCTTTAAATAGATTTAATTGTTCAAATAAATGGTGTATGATGATATTATGAGTTGAATGCTTACCTGAGAACATGACATAATATTGTTTTTGTTTCTTTTCTTCCAGTTCTAAGAATTTAGCTAGCTAGAAATTATTATTATTTTTATATACAAATAATGCCAGCAGAAACTATAATAGTAATATGGAAAGTTAATAAATCTCTTTGATTAGCTAGCTAAACAAACAGTTCTGTTTTCCCTCCTTCTGTCTCAAATATCTTTCATCTTTACTCTGAACTATTGGCCTTGCATCCTTTTTCACTGAGAAACAGACACAATCAGAAGACAATGTCCACATTACCTCCTCACCTTCCCTCCAGCCTACACCTGTTTGGATACTCAACCGTCCTTCTTATTAGCACAAATGAACTGACCATCCTCCATCACATGTGTCCCGTAAGTATCTCCTCATGCCTGTTCCAGAATATACCGTTCAATTCTTCTCTCTCCCCTGCCTCTTCAGTACTTCCCTTCTAAATAATAATATTCAAATATGTGTAGTAATATACCATAAAAAGAATGAATACATGAATACCCACAATTGTTTTTAAATCCACATCTTCTGATGATCCCCTTGTATTTCCCCTTTATGAGAAAGGAAAACAAAACAAAACTTCTTTGAAAGAGTCATTCACACTCCTTATCTTTCATTCTTCTACTAACCTTTTGAATATAATGTAACAAGACTTTTATTGTCAATGCTTCACCAAAACAGTGTTGTTGTTTTTTTTTTTTCCAGCTAAGATAGCAGAAGAGATGATTTATTGCACACGTGTCACATTCGGCCCCAAATGAAAACAGAATTAGTCCTGAAAGTCATAGATCCAGGGCAAAGGAACAAAAGGGACTATCTGGGTATGAGGAAGGTGGGTCTTTCAAAGGTGGTCATTCAGATGGCAATGAATGTTCTGGATCCACTGAATCAAATTTTAGAAAGTAGGCATGCAGACCAAAAACTGATACCAGCGTCCCTGGCCTCTGGCTTTCCTTATTTCTGCTCCTGTGGCTTCCACAGGTGTACAAGCAGTCTACTTGGATCTCTGCTCCATCTTTCTTCCTTTCCCCTTCAGCCTGCATGCGCATTCACTGCTTCCTCCACTTGGCTCTCAAGGCAGGGGCTTTCCAAGAAGGGGGCCCTAAGGCTGAAAGCTCAAATCATGTTGTCCTAGGTTACTATACCCAGTAGCAACTTCTCAGGCTTCTTCTTGCTTGACCCCCTAGATACTTCTCAAAACAATTCCTTCCCTTGCAGCTCTGAATTCAATGACTCCTTTTTACAATCCCCCTGGCCAGTTCTTCCCTCAACTCACTTGTGGTTCTCTTCTCTACTTACATCTGCTCCCTAGGTGATTCCTTACAGTCTCCTGGCTTTAAGCTAATCTATATGCTGAGGAATCTCAAATGAATATGTCCAGCCATGACCTCCCCCCTACCCTCTGGACAAACTTTTCCTGCTGTCTAGAGAATATCACCACTGTGCCTAAAGCCTCAAATCTTCTCCACAGCAGGTGTCCAGCTCCTCTTGCTTCCAACACATCTAAAAAATGGCAACCCTGGGACGCCTGGGTGGCTCAGCGGTTGAGTGTCTGCTTTTGGCTCAGGGTGTGAGCCCCATGTCCTGGGATTGAGTCCCACATCGGGCTCCCCCCAGGAGCCTGCTTCTCCCACTGCCTGTGCCTCTGCCTCTCTTTCTGTGTCTCAAATAAATAAGTAAATAAAGCAACTCCATTCTTGAAAAATCCTCAGTCCAAAACCTTGAAGTAATTATTGGCTACTCTCATACTCAATAATATAACCAATCCATCAGTATCTTGACACTTCATTGGAATTATGTCCATATTTGGACCAGTGTTCACGGTCCAAGCTACCAACCACTATCAAGTTAGTAGCCTCCCAACTGGTTTCCCTGCTGCTTTTCTCCCCCTTTCCTTTCTAATTTAATTCTAGATTGATTTGAGTACATAGCTTCAAAGCCAAGGAATGAATTGGTTCCCTCCTCCCCATTCTTTCATAAAAAGTAAAGAAGATGGATGATTTCTGTGGATAGTGTGGAAAGTGTGTTCAACAGCTGATGTTAAGCAAAGGAGAAATTCATTCTGTTTGCCATCAGTTGTAATAATAGGTTATAAAGTTAAAGGAAGGGAGGCCCACAGGAACCCCTGAAAAGGTAATCATAGAGTACAGAGCAGAGTCATAGCTTTTTTTTTTTTTAAGGAAGAATTGCCTTCTATTGATACCTCATTTTCAAATTACTGATACAAACTTACCAGAGAATAATTATGTATTTTGCCCAACGTCAATCTGCAAAAAGTATCCAAACATAGATACATTTCTTGTTCAATCTCCAAAAATAAATAAAAGCTTTCTATCTGAAAGCATTTACATTCCTAGCTCTCTAAACACTCAGAAACAAAGTACAAAAAATAATCTCTCGGCTTCTGAGGAGTCCACTTAGTTACACGAAGTATTTTCTTTCACAACATTTTTTCAGACTCAAAAAATACTTCCTAAGAACATGAGGATCTTCATTTCAATCCCTTCAGTCCGTTTCCAATGGCAACACTGCAGAATTCTTGGCTACAGGAAGTCGTGTTAGTTGACTCTAGAATTTCTCAATCTTTAGGACTCGGGCGTGGTCTGTTCTATACACCAAACAAACTAAATCACCTTTTACTTTAATGCACGAACTCACATCAGAATGCCAGTTTTTGAGACCCACACGTGGCTTCCTAGGGCCGGGGAGGCAGCTTCTGAGCTGCGCCGCTGCAGTGCTCGCAGGTCGGGACTGCAGCTTCCTGCGCCGGGGCTGGAGCTCCAAGGAGGCGAGGCCAGGCCAGGGCACCGCGCCCCGCTCCGCCCGGCCCACCTCCCCGGTCACGGCTTTTAAACCACCAGGCAGCAGTCACTGGTGTCCAGGGGAACAGAACTAGGGACACGCAGAAGTCATACAAGTCTAGATGAAAGCTTTCTCAGCATGTCAAAACCCTACCGAAGACAGTCACCTGAGGTCCAAAGTACATTTAGGAAGACATGGAGATCTTCTGCCCTCTCCCCCAAGGAAACTAGCAGTTATCCAAGGACAACAACAGTAAAGTAGCCTGGAGTTGTAACAGGGCAGAACCTTCTGGTATGTCCTAACGCAAATGCAGAAACCAGACAGAAATGCAAAAGTAGTTTCCTAGTAGATGTAGGGCGATTAAATTCCTGGGGAATTCAAGGCAAAGACCACTTATACCTTAAAGGAAACTAAGGATAAGCACTTGTCCTTGACCCAGATAGAAGCCAAAATCTCAACACCTTGTTGGCTTGTTTGGATTTATTTTTTTTTTAAGTGACTTTCTGTTTCTTCTAGATGTGACTTTAGTTAGCACATAATATAAAATGAGGGATAACCCAGGATTTTATATTTTGTTCTAGAACTTTCCATGGATATTCTGTACTCGCTTTTATACGGAAAACTCTGAAGTATATAATATCCTGACTGACTTGGGGGAGGGAATTTAAAAGCAATACGGACCTAAAATTGCAACTAAATTTTGTTTTAACCCAAATATATTGATGTTTACTACTTCTAGATAATATTCTAAACTATTGTATGGCCCTACATAAACTATTGTACTCAAACTATTGGTAAACTTTCAAAGTTTCAAATGATTCTTGACCAATATGTGACCATTTGAGCCTCATAAGAAAACATTGTCAGCTAATGCAACCAGTTGAGCTAATGAAAATTCACAAGTCTATGATGCTCAAAGGGGATAAAGGATTTAAAGTATAATAGGAAAAACCCATACAGTCTGTGTGAATCCAGTAAATAGTCCCCAAGTTTGTTTAGAGACCATAATTGCCTTCTCCCAATAGATGGGACTGGAAACCTGTTGATCTTGCATTTGGTTCCAGAATCAAGAAATCAGGATGTTATTAATCATGTCCTAAAATGGAAAGATGATTTTTAGAATAAGATCTTCTGAAAGGGTTTTCAAGGCTCCACAGAAAGCAGTGGACATAGCAAGCCTGAACTTTCTAAACTAGCAAGATCCCACCCTGGGTGAGATTGTTGCCAGAGGCTATGTGTCCCTGTCAAAGTTTCTGGAGAAACTAAAACTGTTGACGTTTGTAGGGCTAGCTCACATTCTTCTCTAATTAAAGATACCTGGTAAGTTCATGCATTTACAGCCAATACAGTCCAGAACTTAACTTTGAAATACAGTAGATACAATGTGGTAACTTCCTACAAATCCCAAACCTCAAAATAATGTACCTGCACAGGAACAAAAATAAGGCTGACCTCAGTATAAGGAGCTATGAGGAGGAAATTTTGAAATTAGAGAATTTTAAATGCGGAAATATGTACTTATAGACCGCGAAAGATGGTCTATTATATTCCAATATTCATAAAACATAGTACTCATGTATTCTTGGAAAAAGGAAAACCAAATTATTTGCAGAGAAGCATCAGGTGCTATGGAAGGCATGAGAATTAGGATCTCAAGAATTGGGAAATGAAGCCATAAAAGGACTAATAATTAGCTTTCTGCAAATCAAACAAAGGATTGAGTTTAAAATAATTTTGGCAGGGGCACCTGGGTGGCTCAGTTGGTTAAGTATCTGATTTCAGCTCAGGTCATGATCTCAGAGTTCTGGGATTGAGCCCCATGTCCATGTCAGGCTCCCCCCTCAGTGAGGAGTCACCCTCTCTGTCTCTGTCCCCCTGCTTGTGTTCTCTCTGACTCTTTCTCAAATAAATAAATAAAATCTTTAAAAGCCTATAATATAATACAAATTCTGGCAAATTTTGCTTTAAGAAAATAAAAAGCTGAACAAGGAGCCAGATGTGGGGCTGGATCCCAGGATCCTGGGATCATGACCTGAGCCAAAAGGCAGATGCTTAACCGACTGAGCCTCCCAGGCACCCCATAAAATTTGCTTTGTAATTGAAATGCAGTTGATGAAGAGATACATGTTTTAAAAGCAAGTTAGAGGTAAACTATACCATTTATAAATTGGAAACAAGCATTATAAACAGCCTTGCTGGTGAAAGAAAAGCTTCCACCCAAGAGACTTTGACAGCCTGATCTTCATGGATGCCAAAAATGTCTACAGCCCTGTCAAGAACTGTCAAAGTTCACGACTCATTTAGGAAAATAGCAGTAGTAGCACAAAGAAGGGTCAAGTCAATTAGGAATGGTGGCTACTCTAGGGGCAGAAAAGTGAGAACTTTAAACAAAATATAATAAAAAACAAGAAAAATCAAATTACAGCACAGAAAAATATTCTATAACCAAAGGAAATGATATCAGGAATTTTATAAATCCTTAAAGGATTTATAAAAGAGAATAATCACGGCTGAAGACCAAATCACTAACTTTGTGAATCAAGTGGAAGAACATCACACACACTAAGCTACAACACAAAGAAAGAGAAATTCACTATTTCTTTTTCATAAATATTGAGTGAATGCCTTCCCTCTGTCAAACACTAGGTGCTGCAATGAACAGACACATCAAAACTTCCCGTCCCTTGGGGAGCTTACATTCCAGTGGGGGTGGGGGCCACAGATGATAAATGTGATCAATAAATAAGAAGTTAGATTGCAATGTTTGCTGAGGGGAAAAATAAAGCAAAGAGAGAGCTGCAATATTTAGGGAGAGGACTGAACTTCAGGATAAGGCAGCCATGGAAAACTTAAATAAGAAACTGGCTCTGGAAGACATAGACATGGTCAGCAAGCACATGAGAAAATGCTCCGCATCACTGGCCATCAGGGAAATACAAATCAAAACCACAATGAGATACCACCTCACACCAGTGAGAATGGGGAAAATTAACAAGGCAGGAAACCACAAATGTTGGAGAGGATGTGGAGAAAGGGGAACCCTCTTACACTGTTGGTGGGAATGTGACCTGGTGCAGCCACCCTGGAAAACTGAGTGGAGGTTCCTCAAAGAGTTAAAAATAGACCTGCCCTACGACCCAGCAATTGCACTGTTAGGGATTTACCCCAAAGATTCAGATGCAATGAAACGCCGGGACACCTGCACCCCGATGTTTATAGCAGCAATGTCCACAATAGCCAA